CAGCTGTAAAATTAAAAGATTATTTTACTTTATTAGTGGCAGAAGTGGGGCCACCTGTTGGATAAATCTGTTAAAACTCTTTAGGGCTCACCTCAAAGTCACCCACAAGATGTACTGTATTGACTAACTATGAAGCAATCCTCTGCTATCAGCTTCCTGTCTCAAGAAGGACACACAAATTGCAAACTTTGTGGTTAGAACAAAAACAAAACTTGATGTGGAAACCCCAGACCCTGTGTGCACTGTTAGGTGGAATTTCCCCAGCACGGACACAAAATCCTTCCAGTAAGACTTCTTCCAAGCAACTCCATAAAGAAAAGACTCAAATAAGGTAGTTTGATGGAAGGCTGTGGGTAAGTTCCTGCATGCAATTATCTTAGATAAGGACAAAGAGGAAGAAATGCCCAATGGAGTAGGCACTAGACAGCTCTGAGACACCAAAATCCTACTGAAGTCTATATGACCTGATATTGATCCTAGAACAAGTCGCTGAACCTCTCTTTGCTTCCATTTCACTCAATATAAAATAGGGCTTATGATAGCAAACTATCGGTAAGAAATTTTCCTTTCTGCTAGCAGCACCTCCCATAATTCTTAGTCTGGGGTGCTCTCCTCTCTCTGCAGCTCATAGAAGTCAATCCAAGTTGAAGTCACATACCCATATCCCCCAGCTTTTGCTTGTTTCTAGATGAATTATTTCTAAGCTGTAAAACTTGCATGCCATTAATAATTATTCCAGAGATAATTAACTATGTACATTCTACCAAGAAAGACTGCATATGGTAATGATTCCACTTGATATCTGATCTTTGACTCATAAGCCATCCAGAATTGAGAGAGTTGAGAGAAACACCATGAGCAGAAAAGGAAATTATTGGTAAAGAAATTCCCACTCTGCAGCCCAGCATCTCCCGCAATTCCTGATGTCTGGGAAAGTAATAAAAAAGGTCAGGGCGAAAAAATGGTATCCATTCCCATCCATAATATTTGTCCAAAGGTCAAATCATTTATGGTCCACTACTTGTCACGCCTTCCCGCCAAAGGATGCCTCTGCAGAGGACAGAAAGTCCACCTTGTAGTGCTTAATAAAGGGGGGAGCATTAGACTAGAATTACAAATTTCTTCTGAGAAGGCACTATTTTTGCCCATGAGGTTTCCAGGGATCACATAGTACATGACCTAACATTCTGAAACTGGAATATCTCTGCTGCTTTCTTTGTTTCTACAATGCATAGTCTAATGCACTACCAATAGAGCAATGAAACCTTCGAGTCCTCGCATGGAAAGATACAAATAAGGCAGCAGATCACCTCGTGGACTCACTTTGAGGCAAATGTTCACAGCCTTTTTATGACACCTCTCTTTGCTGGGATATTGTGGCCTTGGACAGAAAAAGTAGAAACATCTCTTGGGAACCGTGGAAAGTAGAGTTCATCAATGATTTTGGAGTTCTGAGCACCACCTTGTCCTTGTGAAACATGCAGCAAGCTCTTGCGTAGGGAGTGTCACTAGCTCTGAAACTTGCCTGGAAGATGAGATGGCTATCAAAACAAGTTTTGATGCACCAATAAAAAGCTGACATGGATGCCAGGAGTTTGTCAGAGCTCTCCATACAGTGATCCCACTTGGGAAAAGGAGGTCTGTCAGCTTTGCTATCTACACTGTCCTAAGGAATCTACCTACCTGAGGGTTCTTTGCCAGAGAACCTGTGGATCCTGAAAACACCACGCTACTAAAGGCAGTCATCTGACAAGTAATGGTATTTGGCTGGAGAACTTTGACAAAGACTTCTTCAGGAAAACCCAAGATAGCCAGAATTCCTGGATTTCTTGGGTTTGCTTCATGCTTCTGGCATTAGACGCAAAACTTGGTCCACATGGAGAAGTATGCTTTCAAGGTTGATCCTATTCTAGGAGAAAAGTGTTCTGACGACTTTGGAGGACAAACTCAGAGATAATGCTTCCTTTTCCATAGTCAGGCTATTCAATGCATTTGTTCAGATCCACATGAAACAAAAGGACCTGGGAGGAAGTCCTGTCTCTTTGGAAGATGTAGTGGAAGTTTCTATTTCAGCCCCAACAAGACCAAAAAAATAGGGTATCCTCTTCCATTTTATTTTCTTGACCATCTTCCCTAATAATGGGAAGAGTGGAAATGCAGAGAGCAGAACTTTTAGCTATCACTGCAATAAGGCATCTGTTCTCCATGGATCTGAGGTCCAGTTCCCTGGTGAAGTGCTTTAGTCTCTTCACATATATGTGGTTCACAAAAAAGTCAGTTGAAAGCAAGCCAAACAATCAGATAAATAACTGTAAGACATCCTAATTCAGGTTAGGGATGTAAATACCCATTAAATCAGGCAACAGGTTAAACGATTAAAATTACATCATTTAACCAGTTAACCACTAGAGGGCTGCTGCAGAGTAGCTGGGGCTGCAGTACTGCCACAGCCTGGCCCTCTGCCAGGGTTGGACAAGTCTGGTTATCTGGTTACTAGGTAAACATGCTGATAAACCTAATGCTTACTGGGTAACCGGTTAACCTTTGACATCCCTAATACAGGCCCCATTTGGAGTTGTTCACCTTATAACTGCTGAATCAGTCCACCTTCTGGTTCAGGTCTCTCTTTATGTGAGCTGCCTTGAAGGAGAGGAGAGACTGCTCCGCCCACTGCATGATTTGCATTTTTTCAGCATGTAGCACTGGGTTTCTTGTTCCCGGTTGAGTGTTCTCGTATGTGATTGTCAGACAACATGATCACAATCAGGAGGACAAGGTTCCCCTCTAGGCTGAGCTGAATCCTTTGTAGTGTCAAGTTAAGCATTTTTAGTTCTAGGTTTATGGCATAAGTGCTTTCCTCCAGATTCATCAGCTATGTGAGACCTCAGGTGTCAGTTGTGAGGAACAGGGAATCTGGAAAACAGATGGACATGTCCTTTGAAGACACTGCTCTGAGCTGATCACCATGTGCCAGAACTCTCCCTTGATTTTTCATACATTCTGGGGAGTGGTCCTTACCTTTCAAATGAACCTTGAAGTTACTCAAGATGTGATTATACCCAAGGAATGATCCATATGCAAAACACTAGGAGGAGGTCATGCAGTTGAAGACTCAGTACAATTGGGTCCTACTGCAGCTCCAAAACAATGGGAGATGGTCTTGAATTTTCAGGAACTTCTCTAGAGATGGAAATATCCTTGCTATTAGGTGTCTATGTTTACACCCAATGAGTTATGTGGTTGGATTCAATCACCTTTTTTTAATGTTGATATAACAATGTACCTTTGTAGGACATTAAAGGTTAGGGACACAGCTGTGTGTGCTGAGGATGGAACTCTAGCTAAGATGGCATCCAAGAAAGGATGCCATCTTATTTTTGTAAAGACATGAGGACAAGGTGAACTGGAAAAGGAAGGAGAGTGTTTACAAGCATTATTTTTCCCCCATGGTGCTCAGGACCCTTTTAGTATTTTAGGGTAGGGGATCTTTGACCCCCACATGTGTGCCATCTTCTTTGTTCTCCAGAGGTCTATTGGAACTTACTCCCTGAGTTGGCTGACTAGGGTCCTTCTCGTCCATAGAGCCTCTCCCTGTTCTGCACATAGTTTCCTGGTCCATTTTTCTAGGGTTGGAGTTGCAGCTGCTCCAGTGAGCAGAAGATCCCACATGCCTCTGAGTAGGGGATCTTTGACCCCCACATGTGTGCCATCTTCTTTGTTCTCCAGAGGTCTATTGGAACTTACTCCCTGAGTTGGCTGACTAGGGTCCTTCTCGTCCATAGAGCCTCTCCCTGTTCTGCACATAGTTTCCTGGTCCATTTTTCTAGGGTTGGAGTTGCAGCTGCTCCAGTGAGCAGAAGATCCCACATGCCTCTGACTCAT